TTATGATATACGCCTAAAAAAATATAGCCCGATTAATGTAAAAAAGTGATGAAATTTCTAGTTCAAGGTCGATTTTAGCAGGGTTTCATACATTCAAATCATTACCTTCCTCAAATCGTAAGTTTGTTCACCCAGAACAAGATTTAATTTAAATTTTTCTGGATTTTTCAAATTTTTCTTCTCTTACAAGGCTTTCGAAAGTTGCATTTAACTAAACTATAATGTATGTATATCATTTTAAGAATAGAAAAAAATTTTTTTACAAACTCTAAAATATATCACTTTGTGATCTTGACATCCTCGAATTAAATGCCTCAAGTTGACAATAAAAATTCTTTATTAAGAGAGATAATAAAATGAATACATACGTGAACGGACCTACGATTTGAAGGGAGATATGGACGGATCTATGATTTGAACGTTGCTAAAATCTATTTTGAACTCAAAATTTGATCATTTTTCCACATTAATTAGGTTGTATTTCTTAAGGTATATGTTATAGAACTAAATAAGTTTGCGTTATGTTTACAAAAAAAAAACATATAGTATTATATTTAAAACCTGGATTAAACCATTTTTGCATCAGATATACCAAGGAAAATCGAAAATTTAAAAATTGTTGTCCACTAACCTCTAAATCTTAATATTTTTGATAAAAATTTAGAAGTGTTTTTTAGCATAAAATGGAAACTATTAAGTCAATTAAAAAAAATTTTTTTTCCTTAACAAAATATACATTTATTTATTAATATACATTTACATATATGTACGGCATGTTTGTTAAGCTATTTCCCCCTTTTCCAAAAAAAATCAAGATAGTACATATTATATATTGGTCAGAATTAAGGATTTTTTATGTGCTAATTATGTGTTCTAATGTCAATTTTTGTGCTCGAATGGTTAGCAGATTGAATGTGGGGATTAACGTTCAGTTAGCATCTCTTTCATTAAATTACATGCAAAATAAAAATTAGTACAGCAAAATTATGTGCCCTTTATGTGCTTTCGAAATAACAAATCAAAATTAATGTAACTGTAATGGTAAGATACATGCCAATAAAGTGATACATGCTAATAAAGTTTTATATATATATATATATTACAATACCAAATTAGTTGGGCTTAAAATATTTCTTTATTTGCTCTTAAAATATGCACAATGAGATTTTGGTGCTCCCCTTTGATCGGACAATCACCCCCGAAGAATAATAGAAAAATATTTTAAGCTTGCAATCAATTCGTTATCTCCATTTTATGACTGGCACCATACTCTTATAAGGAGACAATGAGTGATGGACACTTCGGGGATGACTTTTCGGTCAAAGAGGATGAGTACCAAATCTCGTTGTGCATATTTTGAAAGCACATGAATAGAGGAACAATTTGAGCTCATAACCAATTCGATATCTGCATTTTAATTGGCACTTTACTTTTGTAGAGAGGAGGTAGGTGGTCACTTTAGGGGTAATTTTCCGGTCAAAGGGGACAAGCATCAAAATCTCGTTGTGCATATTTCAAGAACATATAAATAGAAGAATATTTTAAGTCTGCAACCAATTCGCTATTTCCATTTTAACTGGCACTTTACTCTAGTGAGGAGGTAAAAACATTTCGCTGAAATTTCATGTTTTGAAATATTTCAGTGAAATTGCTGAAAATTTGCTGAAATTTCACTAAAAATAAATTTTTCCACTAACATATTGAAAAATCATTGAAACTGAACTGAAATTACACTGAAACTTCCCTGAAATTTTGTTGAATTTCTCTGAAATTTTTACTGAAATTTTACTAAAAATGAATTTTTCAGCTATAAATCGCTAAAATTAAATTGAAATTTTTTAGAAATGCTGAAATTTTGCCAAAAAGTATTCTAAAAGTCAATAAAATTTTTCCACCAAGATAATCACTTCGAGGGTGATTTTTTAATTAAAGGGGATGAGCCTCAAAATCTTGTTGTGCATCTTTTGAAAAAGGAAGAACAATTTGAGCCTACAAACAGTATTGTAACTGGTACTCTTGTACCAATGTTATATAATATGTATCAAACTTTGTTGGCATATATTTTTTAAATCGTCATGGTTACATTAATTTTGATTTGTTATGTTGAAAACATATAAAGAGCACATAATTTTGCTGTATTAATTTTTTTTATTTTATATGTAATTTAATGAAGGAATTAACTTAATGTTAAATTAGCATCCCCATATTCAATCGTAATTTTCTGCTAAACCAGTACAACGAGTACAAAAATTGGCATTGGATCACACAATCAGCACATAAAAAGCACTTCATTCTGACATAGGTGCTCTTCATTTTTTATGGGGGAGGATGCTTACCAGACATACAGCCAGTTACAGAAAAGTTGCAACACTTTTTTTTTCAATGGATTTCGAAACTCACTCGTAGAGCGGTTGAACGTAAATGATTAGATAAGTAAAAACCAATCGGAGAGCAAGCTGCCTTCCAAAATTCATCGAAAAAGTGTTGCAATCTGCAACCGGCTTACATATATATATATATATATA